CGTTCGTTGGATTCCGGATTTCTAGAGCTGAATTCCGGATTCCATAGCCCACAATTCCACCTTCCATTAGCAAAAATTTCCCGGATTCCGGAATCTGGATTGCCATACATGGGGCGCCTATTGTGTTTTAATTAGCAGAGAGGTTTTGTGTGCCAAAGGTAAATCTAATCTATACAGCACCATAAGATCCAGCCCTAACATAAAAGATGAGATCTTTATGGTGATGGGCCGCTACTCTCCGCAGAAAAAGTAACAAAATATACCTGAAAGCTCCTCACCCGGTATTTTCGATCTATTTTGAAGTATTTTTAAAAAAAAAAAACGGAGATCCCTCACAAGGGCTCATAAGAAGTGAAATGGTAGCTTCTTAGGTCACGATTCTTTACGTGACAGTAGGAGCCTCATGTTAACAGTTGTCGTTAAAGATCTGCCTCCAAGCGTTAGACATATTATAACGTTACAGCATATGAAGTGATTGTTGTGGATTTACCCATAATTCTGTGGCATGCCACGCGACTCATCGACAGCTTTATCAGGTAAGCCTGCAGAGCGAGCCCTTGCCGTCTTCCACCCAAACCACCCATCCCAAATGGTGCTCGACCATCCATTTGACCCTCAACAGGAATTTCTTCGGACGAACTGGAACTTGAACGAGCGGAGGAGATGCTGCTTGCCGAGGGCAGCCTACCACTAGGAGACTGGTTCGACCCGTAAAAGTTGTCCCAAGGTTGAGCTTGGGTTGGGCTTCGCTTCCAATCCTCAGCGGACATCTGCCGGCCATACCGACCGTAACCACCCTGAAAATTAACCAGACTTTAAAAAAAAAAACTCGACAACAGTCAATACTGAAGACTTTTAGTTTTCTAATTCGTTAGTCTCAGTTCTTTTAAGTACTGATCGCGGCGTTTCGTCCGGTCAATGTACGTCTTCAGTAGGCAATGGCGTTGACCGGCTCTGGCGCATCCGTTTCCTCGCATTTGGCATTTTTATTAAAGAAAAGATCAAGCAGCATAGTCAGTTAACAACATTGCCTCACCCTAATTTATGTGTCGCCTTTGGAAACATAACAAAGAACGTTGGGCCATTTGAAAACACAATTACAAAGTTGGGTATTTAAATGTTTTACTTATTAGATTTCCGATCAGTTTTTCTAGTTAAATTTCAGCATCAAACCCTACCTGAAGTTGAGCGTGTGTTTAAAATCTAGTAGTGTGAATAATAATATAATAATAATAATATACAGTATTTATAGAGCGCTAATTCCCAATGGTCCAAAAGCGCTTTACATAATAAAAATAACAACAAAATCCTAAACCTACAAAACTACATTGTCATTCTATAAAAATTCCCAATGGTCTAAAAGCGCTTTACGTAATAAAAATAACAACAAAATCCTAAACCTACAAAACTACATTGTCATCCTATAAAAACATCATCATTCTATACGACAACATCATAACCAATTTTAAAAAGCCAAGTCTTGAGCTTAGATTTAAAAGAAGAAAGGGAATTACAAGATCTAAGTTCGAATGGAAGTGCATTCCAAACAGAAGGTGCAGCAATAGTAAAAGACCGGCCACCATAAGTTTTAAGGTTAAATTTAGATGTAGAAAGTAAAAATTGATTGGAGGATCTAAGAAGTCTACTAGGTGTATAAGGCTTGAGAGAGAGTTCTTAAAAATAACCCCAATATTTTTAGCAGTAGTTGAACAGTCAACAGTGTCAGAGGCAATCACCAGGTTTTTTAACGCAGGGCGTGGGCGATAGGAGGATGAAAAAACTATAATTTCAGTCTTCCCACTGTTCAGCTTCAGCTTGTTATTTAACATTTAAAGGTCAATATCTTTAACACAATCTTCAAGAGCAGATGTACATGTTGACAATCAGGCGATGACGTTTCAAAAGATAAATATAGCTGTGTATCATCAGCATAAAAGTGATAAGATAGACCATGAGATCTTGCAATATCACCCAAGGGGGAAGTGTAAAAAGAATACAGCAAGGGGCCCAACAAGGAACCCTGAGGTACACCATAAGGTAAGGCATGCACATCAGAAGAGACATCTTGGATTCTGACATACTGAGTGCGATCAGATAGATATGAACGAAACCAGTCCAGTGCCTGGTCACAAATGCCAAAACGGGTAGATAGTCTAGCAAGGAGAAGAGAATGATCAACTGTATCAAAAGCAGCAGACAGGTCCAGTAGAACCAAAACAACAGATTTTTGATTGTCAATGGACATAGCAATGTCATTGTAGACTCTGAGAAGAGCCGTTTCGGTGCTATGGTGAGCACGGTAGGCAGACTGAAAGACTTCACACAGACCATTGTTGTCAATGCAGTCAACAAGCTGCAAAGCCACTACTTTCTCAATGACTTTGGACAAGAAGGTGAGGTTAGAGATCGGCAGAAAGTTCGTAAATTCTTGATAATCAAGACTCGGCTTTTTCAACAAAGGACGAATTACGGCTTGTTTAAGTTCAGTGGGCATGACAGAGGTCTCCAAAGACAGCTTAAGTAGTGGGAAGTGTAAAATCCAGTAGTGGTCATACGATAAACATATCTCTCTAAGCTCAAAGATCCGACTAATGCGCTCCCTAGTTATCTCAGTACTATTGTATGCCAGCGAAACCTGGACATTGACAGCGGACATTCTGAGGAAATTGCAGACCACTGAGATGAGATGCTTTAGGAAATTGCTTGGCATCTCATACAGAGATCACATCACTAACGATGCAGTCAGACAGAATCGGGCAAACCATTGGGCCCTATGATGATATCTTAACCACAGTAAAGAAACGCAAGTTAAAGTGGTTTGGGCATGTATCAAGATCATTAGGCTTGCCAAGACAATTATACAAGGAACAGTGCAAGGAGGGAGAAGGGGCCGACAAAAGAAGCGTTGGACAGGGTTGAAGTTTTGCAACGCCGTAAGAGAAGCTGAAAAACAAAATCAAATGGAGGGAGAGGGTTGCTATATCCGTGGCGCCCTAACGGTCATTGACTAAGGGGTAGGTGCAGGTGCAGGTGCAGGTGCAGGTGCAGTGGTCATATAAGAGAAAGCTATCGAACAAGAAGTTGGGCAGTGACGTAAGGTAACTCAACTAAAACCTCGTTCCCAGGGTCCCCTCTGCTCGTCCCCCGTACCGAGAGAGGACACTGGGAACGAGCATGACTCAAGTACGGTTTTATTCTAACCTGCTGATATTGCCATTGTTTCCCTCCGTCTCCCTGCTTTCCAGGGCCCGGCCTTTTCCCCTCGGGAAGTCCTCCCGTGGAGAATTTGGAATGAGCAGCTCCCTGAAGTAACATCTCATTGATATACTGGGTGGCAGTACTGCCGTACAGTCGACTGAGACTGTTTCCGTGCGAACTGCTCTGTGTATCGAACATCGGGGAGCTTGGCTGCGGGCTGCTTCCATCCTGTTTGAACTTCTGCTGCAGGAAGAAGATATGTTCCCTGTACTTGTACACCTGGTAAGGCAAATGAAATGGTTTATGACAGATACTGATAACTTAAGACGGGCACGTCTTCTTGATCATATACCGGAAAAGAGCTGATCCTTGTACCAAATTTTATTCGGAGACTTCAACCAACCGACAACAGCAGGCAACAACAACAGACATTGAAACTTTTAGGGTATCATTACAAATTCTGTGACTGTTTGCAGCTATTAAAGCTATTCGAGGTGGGTTTCCCTAGGGCCCACGCGATTTAAACTTCTTTGAGTACTGACTTGCTCGATTGATCTTTCGTCTTAACATATTACATGCCTATTAAATTTTGTTGGGGCTATACCGCATTCACATTCTACTGAAGAGAGGGTAAGACGTACCTGCTCTTGTAGAGAGGAGATTCTGGACTGTGCGTTCTCCAAGTCTCGCTTCAGTTTGTCTTTTAAAGAAAGCAGTCTCTCCTTTTCTTTCCTTTCGTTCAGAAATTCTTCACGGTATTGTTCATTCTGTAAATCATATAATAATAAGGAATCTCTTTCACTTAGAAGTCCGTTATGATGGAGGTATCAACTGTGCCTCTAAGCTGTGGATCTTACGGTGTGACCATCCAATGAAACCTCTTCCATGGTACTTTAACATGCTACTATTTTATTTAGTTGCTGGCGAGCCCTATGCGAGCCAGCACACTATTCTCTACAATAGCAGGAAAAGGCCAAAATTTGTGGGATGTCCGATCAGAAGCATGCGCAGTCGATTTGTTTGTTTTATTATCCGGGATATTCACTCCTGTGCGATAATATCACGTAAACCGCACATGGACAGATCGACAGATTTCGAGTAAGGGGGTTATTATACATGAGACCGGGACGAACTTAGGCCGATACGAATTTGTAATTTGTGCAGTCGTTTACATGAGACCGGGACGAAACGCGGCTTCGTTGATTACATGAGACCGGTACAACTCAAAAACAGGAGATTCTTGTAGCTATATAACTTTCTTAAGTCGATTATTTAACATATTATTCACTAACTGTGCTAACAGGTACACAATTTACGCCAATTAAGACAGTGAGTAGAGAACCGTAGATTTACTGCTCCCAGAAAATTGAAAACTTTATCTAACGCTTATCTGGTGGCATGATAAATGGACAGCATCTCAGAATGGTGGAATCCCTCACATTAATGGTGCAATCCCTCACATGCAGTTGCCTAGTCCCTAGGCGTCATTATTAAGCGCGCCCGACGCGTTTCGGATCGCGTGGTCCGATAACGAGCCTTCGTCTCGGATATGTCACCGAAAAATGCATTGACCAATAAGCCTGGGAAGACGCCGGACAGGGACTAAGCAAGATACGCTGTCCATTTTACGACACGCAAGACTAACTTCGCAGGAGACAATACCGCCTAAAAAGGAGGTGCGTGGCAAGCATTCATTTACCTGTCTTTGCAGTGCAATCATCTGTTCAATACTTGGCAAGCCATTATCATGGATCATCTTCTTTAGTCTCTTGTAGTCGTCAATCTGGTCTTCTTGATCACAGTGAAAACGAACAAATTCCTCACTTTTCACCTAACAAAAACATGGTCAGAAACGATTAACTTACTCAGCATACTCTGGTGTAGGCAGTACAGCACAAAAATTGGCTGATTAAACTAACACCTAAATCTTCGCCGGAAATCTTTAGAAACGATAACTTAGACTCGAGATTTACCATCTACACTCGCATAATCGCGTTGAAATTCACAGTTCTCTATACAACTTTCTATGTTTCTTTTGTTTAGGCTTCTATAGAAGGTAATTTCACCAGACTGGAATTAAATTATATTTATATATTTACCCTGTTTCATCGTAAAGTACACCCGAAACGTCTGTTTCTTTTAAGATATCTATGACTCTTTTCCAATATTAAGTTATAATAGTATTCTATAAGTTCAGTACATTTTTTTTGAGGTTTGATTCAGTGTCAAAGTGCCGGTACCATTATTGTTCTTGCTGTTTTGTTATTGTTGCTGTTTATTTGTTTGTTTGTTTGTTTGTTTTGAAGTGTCCTTGCTTGGGACGGTGGGTCAAGTGACAAACTAAACTCACTTGTAACGATTTCATGTTCTTGGACAGATTCTCGACCTGTTGCCTCAGAGACTTTTGCTCAGCAATGGAAACAAACTTTTCGTGAGTTTCTCGTTCAAGCATTTCGTGCATTTCTTGCGCGCGAAACAGCACTTGATCGAACTCCTGTTTCTGTGTTTGTTCGTTCGTCTGGTACTGGGTAATGGCCTCTTGTAACTGCCTTCTTTCTTGTTGAAGCTTGGTAATTTGAGTGCGTAACGCGTTTTCCTCCTTCGCGTGACTTTCTTGCAAGTCCCTCAAGTTCTCCTCTAACTATAATAAGCGTTCAGAAACATGAACATCATACAAAACTTTAAATGGAAAAAAGTTCGTTTTGTCAATAATAAAGGCGAAGTTGATCTACTAAGAAAACTACTCTATTTTCTGAGTTTCGCAAGCTCTGAAAGGGAGCGGGAAGTAAATGGAGCCCGGGCATGAGGCTCTGAAGGACCGGAAGCACAGTCCGCTACACAAAAAGAGCGGGTGGTAATCCTGTTTCGAAGCTAGCGTCACTGGCAACCGGAAAAGCTACTTAAATCCAAATGTTGAAAACTGGTACTAAAAGTACAGGGGCACCCAACGGCAATTTTCGGAAAATATCTGTTCGGAAGACGATTTGAGATCTAAATTTTTCGGAACATTTGTTGTAAAATTTCTTGCTTGCCTGCCTCTCCTAGGATTTTCGAACATCTACAAAATGGTATATTTACCCATTTTCATGATCAACGGATGTTGACCCTAAAAAAGGCTACCTAGAATTTTCGGGAGCCTTTTCCTGGCTGAAATTTTCGAGAAGGTAAGTTTTTATCCCTATGATTTTCGGATCACTAGATTTTCAGCTAGGAAATCCGAAAAGATGAAAAGTTTTTAGGGGATAAAAATATGCCTATATCTACCGTGTGAATGCTAAAATACGTTCAACAATGCTATGTTAAGTGGTTTTGAACTATATCCTCGTTGGGTGCCCCTGAAAGTACTGCCTTATAAATTTAGTTTATAAAATCAAACGACCTGGGAGTCATTAAACACGTGTCTAAAAATTTGTGGATGCAATTTATCATTACCATTTACAAGTGTCAAATAGTGCATCGTTTTAAAACTAACAAATAAAAAATAAGTGAAGTTTCAGGGGCACCCAATCGAACCCAACGTCAATTTTCGGAAAATATCTGTTCGGAAGACGATTTGAGATCTAGAATTTTCGAAACATTTGTTGTAACATTTCTTGCTTGCCTGCCTCTCCTAGGATTTACGAACATCTAAAAAATGGTATAATTGTCTATTTTTAACCGATTTTTACCCTAAAAGTAGCCTGAATTTCATCCGATTACTTCGAGTCGTTATTACTCCCTCAGTAACGTCGTTACTGAGGGAGTAATAATAATGACTCGAAGTAATCGGATGAAATTCAGGCTACCTTAAAAGGGTCACCTAGAATTTTCGGGAACCTTTTTCCTGGCTGAAATTTTCAAAAAGGTAAGTTTTGATCCCTATAATTTTCGGATCACTAAACTTAGGAAATCCGGACAGAAGAAAAATTTTTAGGGTGTATAAATATGCCTATATCTACCGTTTAAATACTAAAATACGTTTAACAATGCTATGTTTAAGTGTTTTTAAACTATATTCTCCTTGGGTGCCCCTGAAGTTTGCTTTCTTTTCATCAGTTTTGTTATTAAGCAAAATTTGTTAGAACCTGACGGATGCGTCTTCCCAGCTTCTCTAAAAAACTTACCTTAGATTTCTCAGTAGTTGTTTTATTCAGGTCCTCTTTAACTTTCTTCAACTCTTTTTCTGTACTTTCAAACTTTGCCTTGAAAATTTGCTCTTCGTTGGATGCATTGTCACTGCTCGCGTCTCGAATACGGTCTGGTTCATTTGTGCCATTGCAACGGTTATATTCCCCACTATCCCCTCCCACCTTGTAATCGTTTTCATTCATCCGGTTCTTGCTCATGTCTGTTGACGTAACCCTAAATTTCTTGTCTTCCTTCATAACATCTAGCTTATCAGCAAGAGAGGAACATAGAACATCCTTGGTTTTGACAGCCCTCTCTAATTTCTTTGTCTTGCAGATGTAGCAAATTAGCTGGGAGTGTAAATACCTTGAGCACTCTAAAAAGGGTGATAAATTATTATCAAAATTTATTGATTTTCTTGGAAAGAGCAAAGAAAACAGGAAACGGGATAAATTATGGCCATTCTGTGTTATATAAATAATCTTTAATATTGGATAAGCACGCAATTGAAAGACCAATCCAATGTCACTTTTAATACATATGATCATTGTGACAGTGCAACAGTCTTGCAAGTGGGGGGGGCATGGAGGGCCGAGTCTCCCGCCTCCTGGACCTTGCATTCTTGCTCTCTATAACCTCTACTTTAGTCTGAAATGTCATCTATCTCTTCACCCCACCCTGTTGTCTCTCTTGCCTCGCTGCCCAGTGGGGGGTGGGGCAAAGAGACAGATGTCCTTTCAGAGAACCTTCTTTTTATTGTGACATATTAACACGGAATCCACCAGGAAATTGAGTAATTTTAACTTTCAGTGGACAAAAACCTTGAACCAGAATAAGAATATCACATTCTTTTTCCATTATTCAAGGGCTAAAGATGTAACTAGTCATCTGTAGTAACACTGAAGAAAATTTCTGATGGGAGCCTGAGAAGATGAATGTCAAATTTCATAACATTACGTCTTACACATGAAATTTTGACAATTTTTCCAGTGTTTACACAATTATGGTGAAATTTGACATTTATTATTTTTCTCTGACTCCTATGGAAAATTTTCTTTGGTGTTATTACTGATGACTAATTACTGGTACTTCTTTAGCCCTTGGAAAATGTAAAAGAGAATGCAATATTCTGTAAATTAATCTGGTACAAGGTTTTTGCCACTGAAAATTAAAATTACTCAATTTCATGATGGATTCCGTCTTAAGCATTGTTGCCTGTTTATTCTCCCTGATTGCTCCCCACCCTTTCCTCTCCTGCCTTCTGTACCCTCACACCCCCCATTCTACCAGGTTCCCCTACCCCTTGACCCCCCCACTTGCTAGTGGCCAGGGGACTACAATTCTCCCCTTTCTTAATCCCTTCCCATCCCACCTCTCCCCACTCCTCCACTCGAAGCCATATTACCTTTGTTTGCACATTACGCCAGCGTGTACAGCTGAATTCTGGAAAAAATATCTTTTTTTTCATTTCCTGAAAGCATTTTGAGTGTTAAATCAGCACGACTGATCAATTTTTTGCATTATATTGGTGTCTTTGCTGGTATGAATGGTAGATGTCTCTCCATTTGCTTGTAACCTCCTTATTGTCGGCACTGTTTTACTCCCTTTTTCCCAGGAACACTGAAAACACTAGAGGTGGGTAAAATAAACAACTAACTACTACATTTTCATTTGCATTAATTTACCAAAAATTTCATGCTCAAAACGCCGGAAATGACTTTTTTGAGACCCAGTAGATTTAAATATTTACTGGAGGAGTATAATTGCCCCTAGACCCCCTAGTGAGGCTGCTCCAACTTTTTTTCCCGTGCGTATACCTTCAAAATCTCATGCCACGCCACTGGTTAAGACCCCAAGCCCCCCATAACTCTGCTGTCCCTGTTACTATAAGTGACACTTACTCTCAATGCAGTAGTCCACTGGTTCTGTAGAACAAGTAACTTCCTTAAGAAATGGTATTTTTCCTTGTAGCCCCAAGTTAGTGCCCTGTAAGATTTTTATCAAACCTGTACCCTAGAAATGGAAAGAAACTATCTTGAATGAGTTGTCCATATATAGTTTCTTGCCAATGGTGACGATAACCTTATCAATAAAGGTTTTGAAAAAAAAACACACAAACATGAAAGTTAGTGAGAAAAACTGACCATGAAGTCAACATGGGGTGCCCTTCTTTGGGTTTGTGGTACTCTACTACCCTGATATCTTATAGGGATAAGTAAGTTAAGTTACCGTGGAACAATAGGCCCATGATGATCAACACTCAGGGTCTTATAATAAATAACTGAGGATTGCTGCCTTCATGTTCTGACATCTGCAAATGGTTAGTCACTTTATAGTCCATAAGTCAAAAAAAAGGACAAAGAACTGCATGCCCCAAGTCACAGTTTAAATTAACCTTCACTTAAACCGACTTTGTGGGACATTTGTTGAGAACCAATAAGATACAATAAATCAGTCTGGCATTGACCACCCTACTGTTTATCTCAAATTACATTAATTTTACTTCTGGGGCAGTCCTAACCCTTAACTTCATTTATTATAAACCTTGTCACAAGCAGTCTAACAAAGTACCATATGCAAAGTTTTAAAAAATTCTAAAGGGATCACTGATCACTGGATAACAACACTCACAAAACCATGCCCCATAAATGCTATTGTTTGTGGGTTATAAGGAATATTTGACACGCAGTAAGAAGGTCTCTCCTTCAAGCCATGATACAGTTGCAGGTTAGATAAAAATAGTTATACTAATAATAATGATGATGATGATAATACTAAAAACAATAATAATGGTTACTTTGGCAATTTTGATTGATCCTAATGCTTTTAGTTTAGAATTTATAATCTGGTTTGTTTCACAAGGTTACAAGATTTCATCATAGAACTGCACTTTCTTATTTCCTTTTTAAATTTAAGAGTACCAAAGATGAAATGAATGAATTACCCTAAAATTTTTATTAACCCGAAATCGATGAATCAAACAAATCAATTTTTCAGACTCAAGTGCTCTTTAAAGACACTAAAGGTTACACTTTATTCCAAATAGATGCACATTAATGCAAGGTCACAACATAGAACATTTGTCCACATATGGACTCAAAAGTCAGAACTGCATAACAAAAAACTAATAACGAGGGAACGTACTTATGAAGAGGTTTCATTTGAGATCTTGTTAGGTTAAAATTCTAAAAGCAACACAAGACAGCTGCTGAAAATTGGTGACAAATCACTTAACCCTTCAAGTCCCAAAAGTGACCAAGATCAAATTTCTCCAAACAATATCCATACACTGTCAAAAGATAAGTTATAAGAATTAATAAAATGATCACACAAGAGAAAATGCCTTGATCTATTATCAAGTTCTCTCTAATTATTCTTTAAATGTATAGAGATCAGTTTGGAGAATTTGTATGTAGATAATGGGGCTTAAAGGGTTAAACATGGGTTGAAACAGCAACAGCAACAAAAAAAGTGCAAGGGAAATAGTAAAATACCAACAGGGACATAGCCTTCTCTTCAATAAATGAAATGACAGGCTAGGGACATGCATACCAACCACCCACCCACCCATATGAGGACCTCAAGGTGCTGCTGGTGAACAAATGGTCACATCAGAGGTCTAGTAACACAAGTTTATAGAATTACTTCATTCTTACGTCTCAATGATTGACTTGAGATTAAAAAGGTAAGATTTAACCCACAAAAGAATAACACTTGCCCCAGTCAAAGCAATCAGTCCAACTGACGAATTATTGTAGCCTGACAAAAAGCTGAGAAAGAAACCAGACCTCGGGCGACTCTCGGGAGATCAACCCAAAAAATGTTGATCAAGAACGGGAATTAGTTTCTGGTTTTGATATCTTACAATACAGGGTGGTAAGACTAAAAAATCACCACAATATAACATACAGCTCAAAGGGTAAATACAAGGGTAAATATATAAGATCCATTCAGAACAATAGAGAAAATTCAAAGACCTCAAAAGCCACTTAGGCTAAATGCTATGACACATCTATTTTTTAGGTGGAGCAATATCCGGAGAGAAACTGTCCTGACGCGTTATCTCATGAAGGGCATATTGCAAAAGTGCCTACACTGTATAACACAGTGAGACGACGTCCGCGTAATTATGACTCAATCGAACGTAATGAAAAGACATAACAATACTACTGTACTGAAATTGCATTAGTAAAACAGACACAAGTCCGCGCAGAGAACGCATCGAATTACAAATCACGTCATGCAAGCATGAACAAAGCCAAATACGAGACAAACACGCGAAGGAATGCATAAAGCGGTGAAAAAGATTCTTCACGAAACGTTCAATAGAGGAGGAAAAACGACAGCACGAGTCTCGTGTTGCCAAATTGCAACTTCGTGAAATAAACATCCCGCCGAGCTGTGTTACAGTTGAACTGGCACGCGATCAGAAATTACGACAACAAAGCTATAAGAACGCTGAACATCACGCGGTTTTAAACCAAGAGATATGTGATTATCGAACCACGGTAGATTCTTTTTTTTTTTTTTTAAGGCCAAAAATGGAACAGAAGCAGCGGAAACGAACTTAATTAAAAGGGCGAGCGAAGTGTTACGCCTGGCTGGCGAAACTTTCTCCAAAAGGCACGAGTCCGTGAGGTTCTCTGAAGCATGTCATAATGGTTTATTACGCTTAATTTACCTTAAACACACACGAGTGATGTTATATAGGTCGGCACGAAATTAGCAGAATTGAACCTGCAATTATATCATCGAGATCTAACAAGGGGAAAAAAGGTCGAATGTGCTGTGACTGAAGCGAAAATTTCAGTTGCAATTCAATATTAGGCATCGGATGTACATTAAAAAATGCTCCACCTCAGCTCAATTGTCAGACAGCTCAACACACGGAAACAAGAAACGATTGACTCACCCAGCACAAACGCGATTTTCCTTTGCAATTCCATCTTCATGACCTCGAAATATTTCACAGTTATACACTGCTTATCGAAGAGCGATCGATTTTGTGGGGTTAAACGAGCTTGCTTTGGAAAACGAACGAGGCAATCGATCGCAGAGCACAAAGTACAGCAAAGATCAGATCAAGGAGGCGGGGAAAACTCCAAAACCAGCCAAGCAGAATTTGAATGCATAATTTACGAAATATAAAAGGCATACTTACGCTGATTCTGCAAAAGCAATAGTAAAAAGACACGTGGCGAACAATTTCGTGAGGTGCAGAGCTCGCAGGGCACAGCCAAACAACGTCAACAAAAGGACACTTCAGTTCGTGAGTCACTCTCAGGGGGTATCAAATATAACCCCTCCGACCGAGCTACCGACTGACCAGCGGAGGACCCGCGAATCGTCAAAAACATTTCAAGCATATTAACGCAAACTCAAGTCTAGAGATCGTGTTACACTTTACGAGACACAACTAACCTACCTCAAAATTGTCCCTCCGTACGGATAGGTCTTGCTGATTGACATCGTTCGCTCAACGGGGCTGTTCTATGTCCTGATCTCTGTTTTTATTCCTTCGGTTTGGACGTGATAGCGGCTTAGTGACAGCGCCCGCCCTCTCTTCCGTTTCATCCGTGGATCCACAGAATCTTGCCTCATCTGCCACTGCTGTTTTGCACGCAAGGCTATGTGACGCCTCGCGAACTGTACTTAAACCACATGGACAGTAGTCTACCGCTATTGGTGAAGAAATTCGATAAATAAAAGAATTATAAGCCACTGTAAATGTCCGCATTTGTTTCCACGATGTAATCCCGTGCTTAGAATTCACGAGGGTGAAGAAGCGTCAAAAAACCTGATGTGGGAAAAAGGTGACTGTGGGCGCTGGCCACTGTAAATGTAAATGTCTGTAAATGTCCGCATTTGTTTCCACGATGTAATCCCGTGCTTAGAATTCACGAGGGTGAAGAAGCGTCAAAAAACCTGATGTGGGAAAAAGGTGACTGTGGGCGCTTTCCATTTAGGGAAAAAACCCGGAAATTTCGGTGGTAGCGAAAGTGGAATTTCCGATTGGTAAAAAGTTGTTCCATTTGGTCGTAAACCCCGGTACGTGGCGGTGCCCGACCGTGGACCTGGAACTGGTACAAACTACGAGAAACGTAAATGGAACACGAGATTCCATTCGGAAATTCCAACCGGGAAAACGGGACCACCTTTTTAGATTTTCCACTTTTTCTGGGAATTTTCCAGTGGGACGAACCGACGAAACGTGTTCCATTTACCGCCGAACCGGAAATTCCGGAAATTTTGAGTAAATGGAAAGCGCCCTGTACGTACCGTTCCGTGGAATGAAAGAATCAATGAATGAATAAACTTTACTTATGTGTCAATAAAATATCTAGCAGAGGCGAAACCCTCAGCTAACAGGGACACCTAACTAAGCATAAAAATGTGTGAAACTGACCAAATCTATGTAAAGCTAACTAAAAATCTAAAATTGTACATGTTACATATCTTATATAAAATACATCAACAATGACAAAAGATCGAGGACAAATGTCTTTACGGTGAAAACAGTATTGTAAACAGGAAATCTAGGAATTGCGTAGATAAGAGGCTTGATAAGTCACGCTTTCTTATTTGTGATTTAAAGGTATTAAGATTGCTTGCAAGGCCTCCTTTCTGACCTTTCTGGATAAGTTATGCCACAGTTTGGGACCAATAACGAATGTTTGCCATAAAAAGTAGTGTTTAATAAATCTTGGTAGCGCAAAGTCAGTTTGTCTCAGCTGATAGGTATGGAAGTTACTAGGCTAAAATAGATTACAAATTGGTCTGGGACTAATGTTTCGCTTTCTACATTAGAATGCATATATCTTGGAGCCGTCTGTTCCACACGGGGTGGGTAAATTTGCTTTATCTAAAAGCTGTTGCTAGTATGTGTCCGTAAAGACATCCCCCAAACCCCGTTCATGAAGCCCGCTCTCTAATCTACAAGTGTCTGAGGCCCTGCAAAAGTGCCAGTGAATGACAGTAAGTGAGGGGGGTAGGGGTGGCGGGAGAATTGCCGATTTTAATAGAGTTGTAACTTTTCCATGGTAGGTATCAGATTCCTTCACGCTGATCCTCTGACTTCAGGTCTGACTTGCTTTCTTAAATGACCTTGCAGACGCTGTTGATGTGTTCTTCAAAAAAGTTGAGTCCACTATCAATAGTTCCGCCAAGGAGTTTTAGATTTTCAGACTCAGTTATAATCTCACCCATCACAGTTATTCACGTTTGCTGATTACTCATGCGGGTTTGCTTTTTGACATAGCTTACCGGAAGTAAAACTTTATTCTCAAGTTTCAAGAAACTTTGTACGCGAAGAGAAACAAATAAACCAACTGCGGAAAAGACCCACAACAGAACCATTAATTCATGGATCAATATTGAGCATGCATTGAATTATTATTCATCTACTCGGATGTCACGCAGATCTTGAAATCCTTGCTTCTTCACCGAATCGAAGAGCGCTTACATCTGCCAGAAATCGCGCTTAAAACTTCCGTAGATTGAGGGCGCTCTGGTGGTTAAAAATGAATGAAAGACGAGGAAAATATGTTTGCTCTCTTGCGTTTTTAAAAATTTGCAAAACAACTCGTGAAAATCTCGTGAGATTCAGGAGGGTCACCATTGACAATCACGTGGCCAATCAAGGTAATCAAAAATACACTAGGATCAACCTCTTCTTGGTTTTCAAGTGTCGGGAAAATCTCAGACAAGCAAGGATTCGCTGAATTCCCCGTTTTCCGATCGTCCTAGATTCCAGAACCTGCCAAAGACTAGGGTAGCTAATCAGCTGGAGGACTGAAACGAGCAGAAATAGCCATCCACGAAATCCCGGACAATACAAAATTAATGCCGAAGAATGATCGCCGACAATCGCAGAAATCGGGGACTCGAAACGCTCCCGATTTGTCCCCGACCATCATGAACACGCCTCGAGCAACTCTCGCGCTTAGTTTCGTGCTTAGCAACGTGAGAAACTTGCCGCATGCATCATAACTCGGGTTGCACCTTGCCCGGGGGGCACCTTGCACGTTTACATGACCTATCGTTTACCATGTCTCAAATCTAGAAAGACTTCAAATTTTAATCTGTCGGCAAAATCTGGGACTGTTGCATGAGGAAAGACAGAATACCCGGAGGTCTAGCTTCCCAACAGGTGAGAACTAGGATTTATATAGCTGAAGCTGCCCAACTAGAATGCCTGACCAACCTGACATAAAAAGGGAAGTGTCCCTTGCGTCCTAGCCTGCGTAGCAGGCGCTTGGAAGTAGTGGGCGAAAGAGAGAACGGACGCTCGCGAGGGAGACACGCGAGGGGTGATTGTGTCCTTTCACTTTGTTAAGGTCATTTCAGATGGAAGTGTGTAGACAATGCGGAAGTTCGTGTTTAATATCATACAAGGAAGGTCATGAAGACCCATTTGTCATCGTTTGTCACGCTAACATACGGGTCGGTTTTTAGTCTGAGTTGAATTGTGGTAAGAATTAAACGCTATATTGTACAGCTCTAGTTATTACTCAGCTGTGAAAATAGGGCTTAGATAACTAATACTGATTAACGTATTTTGAAAAGCGAGACTTCTCTTTGACGTACTAGTGTCATAAAATCAGTTCATGAAAACCCCGGGGGGTACTCCCCTATGTAAGCCATATAGCTAAGTGCCGCCCCAAGGGGTAGGGTTCTTGCGCCGTTTTGGTCTGAAAACGGGCATATACTTAGCTCAGTTTTGTCCGGAATCGGGTGTGGTTTTCAAGAGAACTACGGGAGTGTACGAACGTATTTATTGTTTCAATTCCAGATGAGTAATAATAATAATATAATAATCAAAAAATTTATCGCCCGCAAATATCTATATGAATATAATCAAATGCGCGATAAAAATAATTTTCTTCGAAAATGGTGTAAATGAAATATTCATTAATTACAAAGGCGCGTAAATAAGGTTGAAGTAGTATGTGTATGCTTTATTAACATTAAAAGTAAAGTATGTATTTTAAAAGATCCTAACTATAATGTAAAAAGAAAAAATAAGCGAGGATTTAAATTTGCTAAAATTAGTTTCGTTACGTATATTGTTCGGCGGCAATTTGTTTCATACAGCGGCCGGAGCTGCGGCCATTTTAAAGGAGCAATCACCCAGTGTCTTTTTCAAATTTGAGATAATAGATGGTCTATGAATAAGTTCATTGTTGGACTGTAGATTGTATCTAGAGATCTCCTTTATTGTCAAAAGTTCCTTTAAATGGTCAGGTGACGGTCCATGCAATATCTTGAATGTTAATATAGCAACCTTGAATAAGATCCTATATTTAACGGGGAGCCATTGAAGGGATTTCAGCACCGGCGTAATTATGAAAACGTGAGGTAAAGGAAATAAGTCTTGCCGCTGAATTCTGGAAGCGCTGTAGCTCAGTGAATTTGGCGACGTTAACCACAGGCAAGCAGAACAGGAGACTATTGCAATAATCAATACCACTAATAACGAGGGAGTGCACCAATATTTGGGTAGTTTCCTTTGTTAGAAACGTTCGGATGTGCCTGATGTTGTATATGTGAAAGTAAGCACCACTACACGTTTTGTTAATATGATCTTGGAGGGTAAGGCTCCTACCCATCCAAGTTCCAAGATCCTGGCGGAGTTGACCGGAGATACGGTTGCACTAGCAATGGTTAGATGACATCGACTAGTCTTTGAAAGTTGCTGCTTTGTCCCAAAAATCAAGAATTCGGTTTTGTTGTCATTTAACCTAAGCTTGTCAGTGACCATCCATGTTCTTATTTCTTCGACGCATCTCTCCATGGTTCCAATAGCCTGTGCCTGACCAGTGCCACCAGGTGAAAAGGCAAGGTATCGTTGAGTGTCATCAGCGTTGGGGTGAACATCAAACGTATTAGGTTATTGTTAATTATCTGAATAATCTGAGCAGGCGCGGATCCACACCGGTTTCTACCGTTTTATGGAATCGGTCAGATTTTTCAGCTGGCCAAAACCCAGGAAAGGAGACTTTAGGGAGTTAAAATCTAAAACGTTCCCCATGGGGGCTTGCCCCCGGGCCCCTCTAGAAGCTTGCACCTAATAAGGCTATCGTCAAATCGGTCAGTATTTATATCCTAGATCCGCGCCTGCTGGGTAAGAAGGAAAGAGATTTGCGCGAACTCGAAATGCATTTTAAGAAATCTTTTTGTTTGCGTTCTAATCTAA